ATTAGGTTTTCGCTTGATCATGAATTTGAATCTTTCACTTACCGATACATCTCAGCTTTATAGTTGGTGTCAGTAGCTCCCCACATGTTAACCAACACATAACCACCCACGGCGACCATTTTTTGTGGAAAGCTTCTCCACTTGCAGGCGCATTAAAGATTGCCATACATCTGGTCTGACTTATATTATTATTTTAATAATATAAACGAATATAAAATAATTTGGTTAATCAAAGTTATCTGTATACCTAAAGGACTAAGTGCAAGAAGTATCCAGTCTTGATTAGAAAGTTCTTGTTTTCTTCACAGAATTTAACTAAACTAGAAAAATTATTTGACCTTAATTCCAATGGCAGACTTGGATTAATTTCTAGATCATCTAAACCAATAGACTGCTCTAAAGAATTGTGCAATAATTTATATATTGTGAATTACCGTCTTTTGCAATTAATCTTTTTGTATTAATTCCTTCTCTGAAAAATAAATATATGGACGATGGACTTTGTTGATCATGATTGATCAAGCTCTCTTCATCAGCCCAAAATTCTAATGCTTTTACTAAATCACCACCATATAACCTTTTTACAAGATCTAAAGTGCAATATTGAAGGTTCTTACATTGAACAGGTGTTGTTGTACTCAATGGCAGTAAATTTTTCAATTTCTTGTTGGTTTTAATGTTGGGGAGGTTTCTGTGTTGTGTCTGTTTTGTAATAATTATTATTGATCAACATAATGACATTAATGGTTTACCACAAGTATAAGAGTAAATAGATATTTTTATTGTAATAATCTAAATACTAGTCAAAAATCCACTAATATTTTCAGATGGTCCAGCCGAAACACATCGCGTCATCTCCATCTGTGAAAACCAAATCTTTATTATCTAAACTCCATGTAGTACACAATATCCGTCCGTGATAACCATGAAATACAGATATGGAAATGCCTTTCCCTAGATTTTGTATCTTATGTATATTGAATTAAAGTTTTGATAAAAAAAAATACTGTCACCTATAATACAACTTAAATCAGATATGTACAATAGCAATCCTATCAGAAGAAGTTAAAATTGTTACAATTGGTTACACCTTTTTCATGCATTTCAAGAACTTTTTTGCATGATGACATCGAAACAGAAGCTATAACGCAAGAATATATGTTAACAATTATTAATTCACATAAAAATCACTAAAATTATCCTTTTGTTCGTTTTACCAGTTGAATTTGAAAATTCATGGATCATGATCTTATAATTATCGAAACCGGACTCAAGCAAAAAAGAATTTTCAGTTTCATCTGGTGAAAGAGAATAAATTATAAAAGAGCACATTAATTGTATAAATGGCTAAGGAAAAGAAAAAAAAAAGATTTTGAAATATGCGAACCTAGAGGGCACCAATTCAGTTTACAGAATCAAGGATAATGTAGGTAAAAGAAGCGCCATAAAAATTATAGATATCAAAGGTATGCTGAGATCTGTAAGTTGTAAATAAGATCAATGTGGGCTATAGTGATTACTCTATAGAGCGAGTTCTTATTAATGTAATTATAATAACTAAAAAATTTGGCAATTTTATTTTTTTAAACTCAGACTGAAATATTGAACGGGTCAAACGGGTCAAACCCGATTTTGACCCGACCGATCTGACCCGAAATATAAAATTTCGGGTTGACCCGACCCATTTCAGAACACTAATATATATATAGTATATATATTTTACTATGCTAGTTTTGATAACATCTGTGATCATTATGAACTACCTTCAATTATCAAAGTTTTCCCATCTATCGATTGCATTGTACCTCGCTCATAATGAAATGAGCCACATCAGCTCTCGCTATCTTGATTGCATTTTTTTTCGAGTTCGTTTTACCCTTTTCTCGTTCTTCCAGACATCATTATTGTTCATTATTCTATAAACACTAGTTAATGAAATAACTATTTTTCAAGATGATCGTTTCTGTGGTTCCTTATCGTTGAGAATCTTATTTGGAAAAAATTTACCAAAAATCCTTTGTAACCCTTTTGAGATTACTGGAATTTGTGTGGACGTTGAGGTTATTGGTGACATCGAATAGCCCTCGGTATCGTGCTCGTTATTGCTAATGTTGCTAGAACTGGAACTGCTTGAACTGTTAGAAGAATCTATACCACTAATTGTTCTAATGTCTTGCACAGTGATGGCAATCAATCTTCTAAATTTATTTTTAACCATGCTTTCAATTATCATCTTCTAACTTTGAGAACATACATCAGTGTCGTTGCCAAATAGTTAAGGGCCAATACAGTTTATAGCGACGTCCTGACCTTCAATTACCTTGCCCAGATCTTGATGATTAAATACAAATCTGACTATTATTACAATATTGAGGTTACGTAGTTGATAACGTGTGAACGGAAAATTCGAACCAAAGTGGTCATGTGATATGAGGCATCGAGAGCTTGGTTGACTATCTGGGTTTCTATTTCACCTGTTGCCCCAAGAACTACAGCAAAAAATGGCAGGAAAGTTTAGTTCTATATAAACTTGCGTTGGTCCCCTTCGACATTCTTCACTTTCGAGAAAATCAATTCCTCATATAATATAAAAAATCTTACCTGCAAAATGAAATCTGCACTTCTTTTTGTTATCTTATTCGTTGCTTTTGCTATTGCTGGTATGCAACAATTTTCTGTTTAACTGGCAATCTTAGAAAAATTTTAATGCTATATTACTGCTACAAGCGTGAAACTAAAGCATCTCCCTACTACTACTACAAACGTGATGCATCTCCATACCACTACTACAAACGTGACGCCACCCATATTGATATGGGTAATTCTTTTTGAAGGCGGACAGGGATTTTTCTGACTTTATAATTGTACTCCTAGAATTTATATTGTATATGTATTGTTCAAAAATAGGGATCAAAAAATCGTATATAACATTTTTGTTGTTTTTAAAAAGAATCAGCCATATTACAAGCGTGAAGCCTCTCCCAACTACTACTAAACAATTATCTCAGTTGTATATAGATGTATATATATCAAATTTACCCTTTGTTCACCTAGGTATTGTAAAAAGTTTTTTTTCATATATGTGGACCTTATTTAAATAATTACTTGTACAACCCTTTGATACCATTTCTTTTAATAAAGAATTTGCCATTCGAATTGTGTTGATGGTATTTGTAAGTGAAAAAAAAATTATTATTTGGAAATTGATGAAGCCTTTTCTATTTATCACGAGGTTCTGTCAAGTACTATATGAGATTTTGGATTTCTGTTTTTAGCAGTGATGTGATAACGCGTTATGCAGTTGACACGTAACGCGCTACATAAGTTTAAATAAAGGAAGCGCAGAATAACCAGATCATTGTAATGGGATAATATAAAGAGGCACCAACAGCTTCTTTATTAGGTGGGCTGTTAAAGGAACTGCATCCATAATTGTAGGGTTAATATGAAATCATCAAGTTTAAATCACTGCCGTGTAACGTCTAAAGAAGCTATTGATCTGACGCAAATGTTCTTTATTATGATTGTCTCTTTTTGGCATGTGAATCGTTCTTTATATACATACGAATAAAGTTCTCAAGAGTTACTAAGGTCTTAAAAGTCCCAGTATCATCTCTGCCACGTATTGCGACTTTTATCCACTTTCAACATAATACAGCATTAAAACTTACCTTTGATTTTATCTACTATTACACATACAAATAGCAATTGACTTACCAGTAATGACGATAAATATTTAGAAAATCTATATTTTCACTTGGCTAAATTTTTTTACTATTTATATGATTATTTTGCTTGAAAAGTAAAAGGCAGACAAAATTAAAGTTACCTGTCGGTTTCTTGTTACCCGAATCAATCTATTTTATAGGAGATAAGATTTTTTTCCATTTAATAATATATGGTATATATATAAAATACGAGAACACTCGAGGTTTATTGAAATAATAATAAATTCAGTTGACGGTTATTGTTATGTTATTATTAAAAAATGTCAATGGTAAAATATTACTTAATTTAATTTATTGTAATAATTAAATTCATTTCAGTAAAATAATCATCGTTATTTATAATAAATTTTTATTTAGCTTGTATAACTTCATACAATTTTCTCAAGAAGCATTTTTATGGCTGTCACTTTCACTGTGCTGCCTAAACTAAGTTTGTAAGATGCAAATAAAGTCATTGTTGTATCGGAATAAGATCTTTTGGTCAAGAAAACATGTTGAATTTTTTTGAAGTGTTACATAAAAAACCTTGTCACTTAAGAATATTCCTAAATACAGTACGTGTAAAATACATTCTAACTATAAATAAATATATATACTTAATTATACTCGCTACATTAGATAACTTTAAATACTTCATAATCAATACATGAAAACCCCTCATCCGGCAAACAAATTAAGTATTCATGTAATTCACCACAATATTCAATCTTTTTATTTGCATTCATACGAAAAACATTCCCAAAACTTAGACCATATTGATTATGATCTGTATATTCCACATTAGATGGAAATTCAAATTCCTTGAAGTAATCAAAGTAAGAACATTGAACATCGTTTTCAAATAAAAAAACAAAGCTTTCGTCTCTGTCGCCTTTATCAACGCAACTCTTTATGCCTGTTCCTTTGTTCCATGATAATGAATTATAACCACCAAGAATTTCATATAACTCAGAAACTTTTATAACCACCACGGTTTTCTCGTGACCACTGCATATGTTCCAAAAAGTCTGCGGCTCAAATCCATCTCTACTTCCTCTTAAAATCAATTGAAATTTACTTGTAATATCTTTTGACGTGAGATTACCTCTAAATCCTCTTAAAATAGATTGGAATTTACTTGTAGTATCTTTTGACGTGAGATTATCATCAATCCAAGATGAGATCTTGACCAAATGTTCGTTGGTAATGATTGCAGAAAGAGATTCGTTCCCAGCCAAATGTTCGTTGGTAATGATTTCTGAAAGAGATTCATTCTCTCTTTTTGGCAATTCATTAAATATTTTCGATCTTTTGGGCAAGATAACTGACTTTACAGGTCGATTTGGAACGCTCATAAATTGTTTTAAATCACTCCAAAGTTGTTTGTTCAATATTTTCTTATAAGGCTTAACTTTGTCTAAAATAAACTCGTTCGAGAGTTGAAAATAACGAACGTGCGGTAGAAGTTGCTGTAAGCTTATTTTTAAGCTTCTAAAGTTCTCTTCAGACCATTCCTCCAATTTTGAAGGCAGATTGGTATCCTGTGCGATACCCCATTCAATAACACAGTCCCAAATTTTGGATTCTTCTACCTGTAAATCGTCTCGTTTAAGAAGAGATACTAAAACTGACTCTTGGAAAGAAGTGAAGTTATCTGCTTCAAAGATAAGGCTTGAATGCCTTACAACAATGTCGTTACAAAATTTTTTCATATCTTTAAAGTCGTTGACGTCAAATATCGAACTATAAACTTTCGAAAAATGAATACGTAACCAAGAGGCTTTCGATTCAATTAGAAAAGATTCTAATTTAACTGATAATTCGTTGAGCTTAAGTTCATTAGTAACGATCATTAACTCAAAAATAATGCTAGAATCAACAGTTTCCAAGTTTACTATCCCACCGTAAATATATCTGTGTAAAGTATTTACCATAAAACAATTAAATGGAATGTATAATATAGTATATCGTTTAATCAAAGTCACTTACTTGAGGACTATATCAAAAGCTTGAACAGAGTAATTGGGTTTATTAAGCGTCCGCATACCCCTATCATCTTTGGGAACTTTGGCTAACTCCTCACAAAAATAGGATGACCGACACCGTAGTATGTTAGAATGAGCTATAAATCTTTTCTTGTTCTCATTTTTGTCAACTTTAATAATCACATTGTAATCATCTTTGTCATTTAGTAGTTTTGTAAAGTCTTGAGATAGTTTATCAGTGAAAGAGAAAGACATTTTTTACTTAAGAAATTTAGATGAACAATATTTAAATCATATACTGTATTGTATCGATGTACTGCATTACTTTATTGGTGGTACTTGCAGTTACACTTGCCGCCCATAATTGGACTTTTTAGAGAAAAAAACTGCTAGCAACAAAATACTATGGCTTGCACTTACGGAACCAGTAAATCAAATAAATTACATGGTTCCGGCAAGAAAAAACTGCACTTTTATGATTTTTAGGAAATTACATTATTAATATTTTTATATTACTGTAGATTGATATACTGTAAAAATTAATTAAAAGTATATAATTACTATTCTAAAATAAAAAATAAAATTTTATAATATTAATAAAATAAATAATATTTTATTTAAACATTTTGCTTTTTATTTTCTCCTTTATTAATTCCAAATGTCATAAGTTAGCATATCTGACATTTGTTAAATATTTTAATCAAATTTTTTTCAATTTTATAAGATTATAAATTGAAAATAAAATAAAATATTTTTTTTTAATCTCTTTATACTTAATAAAAAAAAATTATAAAATAGTTGTCGTTTTTTTCTTTTTATAATCATTTTAATAATGAATCTTTTTTATTTTTTTTTATTTTTTTTAAGGGCTAAGGTGTGATACACGCGAGGATTTTATTGTAGATCAGAAGATTACAACATTTTATTTTTTTGCAGGTATGTATTAAATATACAATTTTTATTAAACATAAGTTTATAATTTATATTTTAACAATCTTTATAAGATAATAAATTAATAGTAATTTATTACACCAAAATTAATAGAGTCAACTTTTAATAATAAATTTATTGTAAAATAATAATTTGAATTTATTTACAAATATTAAATAAAATTCTATTAATTACATTGTAATAAACTAATAACAAGTCTGATACTAATATTAATAAATATTTACATAACTATTATTGGTATTTAAAAATAAACAAGTAAATAAATTTAGATATTCAATTTGATTAAGTTCTTTTATCTTGTAATATTTGATATTTATTTAGTATTTTTATATTTTATACTTTTTATATATTTTTCAATTATCACATAATATAAATTAAATATACTAAATAAATTAAAAATTATTATATAAAAATTATATAATAGTCTTTATATTGTTATTGTTGCTACTTGCAATTATTAAATTAATTAATTATGTTTAAATTAAATTTTATATTATTTAATATAGATTGATTATATAATATATTATAATATTATTGTTTATTGCACAATATATATAATTTTATATACTTGTATT